AAACAACCGCATGCCAAGGGGGTAACCCGGCACAGTCATTCGCCTTAGTTTGCAAGGCCGTACATATCTCTTATGGCATCTTGTCGTCTGGTGTCTGTACACTACCTAACGCAGTTGACCCTTTCGAGACCTTTTTGCACATGAAGCGATGTGAGGCCATGTTCGACCAAACGAAAGTGCTGGTGACCGGCGCCCCAGAGCTGGGCATATCTCGAAGCTTGGAGCTGATTGGCCCAGACCACAGGTAGACTTCCAGAATGGCCCCAAGTCTCAATCAAGCAGTTATCGAAATTCCGTCGACAACCATCAAAAAGAGAGAACGCCATGGAGTAAAATGTGGAGGATATGCGAATTCTCCGAATCGTTGGATGTCACTCGACAAGCACTAGACGGACTGACAAGAAATTATAATGGAGAACTCGTGGCGGTGCGAGCATAGTCTAATCCCATTTGAGAATGGCGTGCCAAGCAATGACAGATTTACATTACCTACAGTACTTAGTGTACTTTCTGTGTATAACAAAAGCCGACATTGGTCAGATGTATTTGAAGGCGCTCAGGCGGCATCACCCCACGGCCAAACTTCTGTATCAGCCCTCAACTTTCAAGACACTTGCAGAATCTAACAACGAAAGCCAGTCACCTCAAGGAGATCGAGATGGCTTCAAAGGAACAAGAAACGGGCGGTGGTGGTTGAAGTGGAGAAATCAAGGATGGATTCTCTAGTGGAAAAGCCATTGTTCTACTACCCCTGGACGAATGGAAAATCAGCCCTTGGGCTTCCTTCCTTTCTGGTTGGCCGTATCCAACAAGAGCGGCTTGCACTTTTCCGTGTTCTCAACCAGTGAAACGCATGGAGTGCGGGGCACCAGGCAATATTACACTACTACACTACGAGCCCATAGTCTGCAGCCGGAGAATATGCTCCCCATCAAGATGAATGACGTCATTGTGATTGCTGTACTACTGGCAGCTGTACCTGCCCCAAAGCTACCACTTCCCTTCAACACAGCAATGCACCAACTATGGTACATGCTCAATAACCCAGCAACCTGAAGAAATTGACGATGCTGGACATCGTTAACCGGGAGCATCTAGAGTCCAGTCACGAACTCCCAACAGCTTCATCTCAAATTGCAATCATATCTGCATATCCGTCTCCACTGTCACCTTGGCAAGATTACTCCCAGAAGGGAAAACTAATGTGATCTGGCGCTCGTCACTGTCACCGTCACTGTCGACACCAGTGTCCACATCGACACCGCCGGCATGGATCTGATATCATCGTGTTTTGGAGGCCGCACGAGGCGTGCGGACGAGGAGGAGCCTCTGTTGTCTCATTACGACGATGATACCGTGTTGCAGAGAAAGCTGCACCAGAAATTACATACCTACCAGATGCTGCGTGCCCTTTCCAAGGGATACATGCCGTCCAACGACCAAGCCATCGCCAACCTTCGAACCCTTCTCTCCTCCGATATTCTGAATCCAGACAACTCCGGCCTCAGCGACTCGGGACGGGCACTTGTTTTCTACTCCAGGAAATGGATTACCCAACTCATTCAGCTCTTGGAGCACAAGAACAGCCAGGACCAGATCCAGGATTTCCTATGGTATCTCTCCAAGGCTCGTGTGTCCGTCGACATGGAACAGATTGCCGAGCGTGCTACCAAGGCTAAAGCCAAGGCTGATACCGCTGCTGGTAAGTTCTTGTCCCAGCTTTTGTCTACGTACATCGACAGTTACTGATGCTTCTTATCCCAAACAGTGTATAAGAGCATCCAGACAGTCGGGTCCTTGCTTTTGACCAACTCCGACTTTCGTCTCTTCCTCTCGGATCTTGGTGTGGTTTCTCGCGAGGTGTTTCGCGACACTGCCTTTGCCCTTTCCGCCGCATCCAAAGAGGCAGGTGAGCGCCTGGAGCCTTGGAAGGACGAGAGAGAATCAGTAGCAAAACCGGGGAACGACGAAACAGCCGGCAAACCAGTCCAGCAGGACTTGGAGGCTGAGGTTGCCGAAGTTGGGCAGGTGCTTGGAGACACTGTCGCAACTGTCGCTCAGGAAGCCGAAAGCAGTATCATCAACAAGTTACATAGCGACGAGACGGATACTCTGCTATACCGTCTCAAGCAGGCGGTCACCAAGCTGCGAGACCGCAGGGACTACTCGGATTCAGTATCGACATTCTCGCTCCTCCTAAAACGATATGCTATGGTATATTCGCGCATCGCTCGCGATACACTCCAGACTACCGAGGAAGCCGTTGATCATAACCCAGAGATGGATAAGGCTCTTGAAAACTTCTGGCTCTTCATCAAGTCCTTTGGCGAACAGAAAGAATGGGAGGAATTGGAAAAGAGGTTCAAGCTGGTCATGGACCATGCCCACAGCGACCCCGAATTCGAGAAGCTGATCGATGAGCTAGGCAACGCTGCCCAGGAGATGTTCACCGACCCGTCCTTCTTTGACCATGCCGAGGAGCGTTTCCAGGACCTCCGAGATCGGTCTCGACAGCTCACTTCTCGCTCTTCCCTGCGTGATGACATTGATGGTTTGTTGTCACAGTTGCAATCCACCTTCCATTCGGTTATGCGTGATCGTGATATTTCAGGCCTGCTCAAGACAACGGCCGCCATTGGCAAGATCTTGTCACCGAAACACCACTACATTAACACAGACCTTGTGACCGACTGCATCAACGTCTTTGTTCCATTGCTCATTCAAGCAATCAACTACATTCCTATTCCCCGACTGGAGATCGCTACGCCAGAGATTGACATCTTGCTTGAAAACCTCATCCTAGAGCCTGGCAAGACAATCAACCACACTTCTTTCTTCCCATACAAGCTTCGTATTGAGACCCTCAACGACATTGAAATCCGCAAAGCCAGATTCCGCACAACATCAGCAATGAAGAGTCTAGTGAGAATCAAGATCGATGGACTCTCGGTCCGCGCCGAAGAAGTCGGCTTCTGGATGAAGGTACACACCGGCTTACTGCGCTACGTCGACGAAGGAATCGCTTCCTTTGCAATGGATGAAAGAGGTATGGATCTCGAGATCGACGTAGAAGTTGGTCGAGACAGGATGGACAAGATCCTCTCCCTCCGAAGCGTCCGATGCGAAATCCACAAGCTCGATTTCACCTTGCGCCAAAGCAAGTTCAGTTGGCTTGCCTGGCTCTTCAAGCCCTTCGTGAAGCCCGTCATCAAGAAGACGATCGAGATGCAAATCGCCATGGGCATCGCCCAATCCTTACAGTTCGCCAACCGCGAGATCCTGTTCGCTAGGGAGAGACTTCGCGCCACGCGGATTGCGGATCCGGATGATCTCAAGACGTTCTTCAAGGCTGTCTTGGCGAGGCTGACGCCTCCTGATGATCCGGATGTCAACATACGGCTGGGTATCACGGATCCCGGAAGGGGCGTGTTTGATGGAGTGTATGCTCCTGGAAGTATCGTCAAGTTGTGGAATGAAGAGGCTACGCAGGCGTCACAGAGGATTCGAGAGAATGATCAGGATGGATGGAGGAATAGCGTGTTTGACGTTCACACTACCTTGATGACATGAGGGATATGTCAAGGGACCCCACTACTGGGGCTGTGGACCAGTAGGTATGAAGGTATAGTAGTTTCACTTGTGAGGATACGTTCTGGTGTGGCGATGGAACATCGTTTTGCTTTTGGCGGTAATGACTGGTCTCTGACGGATTTGCGAAACTGATATTCTAATTTTCTAACCCTTATGTTGAGAGATCTCGGTCAGATGGACTTGACGAGAAGAAAACACGTCCCATCTTCTCAGATATAAGGGTGAGTGCACTCTGCAAGGCGAAACACCTGTGATAATAACGAAGGGGAAACAAGACCGATAACAAATACTTTCACAAATCATGTCCTGTTCGAGGCTTTAAGATGTACTTTCAAAACCATAACAAAGCAACACAGAAGACCTTCAGAAGCATAACGATCTCGAGCACTAGAAGCCCTTGGAAGTAACACAACCCTAGTAATTTTTCAGCTTTGAAAGGTAGGCATGTCTTTCAGAACACCCAAGAACGGATCAGACCAATGAAAATCCACGAATGCTGTGCTATGACTTCATCCCAGAATCCGCTTTAGACTACCACCCGGCATCTGTTTCCCCCTCCCCAATCTCAGCCGTTTCAGGCGTTCTTATGCCGACGGGCTATAGGTCATCCATTCAGTTTCCGAATTGATGCCAAGTATCTCTAGTTTTCTTGTCGGCCTCGTTCATAGCGCCTCCAACATTCCAAGGTGATGCTTGCTGGACATGATTGGAAGCGAGACCAAGTCAAGCCCTGTTCTCGTGATTGTGATACAATAGCAGGCACGGTACGGTTAGATCATTCGTTCCGGCAGTTCTGCTTGTCACACGTCACGTAGACTAGAAGCCTTGGGCACGGATGGAGAAATATGAGAGGCCTCCCGTTACTAGGTGGCTCGGGTACCTAGTTCTGGTTCGATAAGTGCCGAGAGGAGGAGACCAAGGTGGATCAAGGCAGAGACATGGGATAGATGTCAAGAGATTCAAAGTACTGTTGGACCAACCATGAGCTGTTCACAACCTAAGCCAATGCATGCTAGGATACAACCACGTACAGAAATGGAAAACATGGAAATGAAATGTGGAAGTCGTTTGAAATCACCGAAAAAGAAACATGAGCCAAAGGAAGTGTTCACTGGAGCATATAGTGGCTTGCCAAGAAAAGGGTGACCTTGATGACGAGAGACTGCCATCCAGTCCTGTATAGGACCCTGAAGGCACTGGGCAAGCTTGGATGAGCTTCGGGTGAAGCATCATATCGGAAAAGATGGTGGTGATGAGGAAGGGCTTGACTGATGTGAGTATGCCGCGGTGTGTGGTACAGTGGTATCTATGGAGGGTGTGTGTTGATGCGCGGTGTGAGGAAACGGTTTTGTCATCTCGCGTCAGGTTTTGCGCTCAGCTTTGAAGTGATAGGGGGATAACGAGCGGTAACTTGATAAAGTGATGATGGTGGTGGGTGATATATCACGGTTATGTCCTCCCACAATCGAAAATTGGTCTGACCTCCTTATTTTCATTTTATAATTCTTCTCAAAATCGTCGTTACGGACAAACAAGCCAACACCACCACCACCAAGAAGTGGGAGATCACGAGTGATTTTCTTCGCAAACCTACCTCAATCGACAACACCATCAACGGTCAGATCAAACAGAGAACAAATCGCCCAAGATGATCCTGGTAGACATCATCTCCATCATCCTCCGCCTTGCGGAGCTTGCATTCGCAACCATTGTTGCCGCTCTTAACGGGCGCTTCCTGCACGCCGCTCGCGGCAACTCACCATGGGATCTCGGCCGACACATTTACACTGAAGTGGTGGCGGGTTTGTCCATTCTTTTCGCTATCGTCTGGCTGTTTCCCTTCTCGAGCTCGTTCATCCACTGGCCCATGGACCTGGTCATTTCTGTTATGTGGTTTGTGAGCTTTGGGCTGTTGGTTAATTGGTTGCATGGGGTTTGCGGGTAAGTGTCCCAGGCTTTCACCAGCAAGCGAAGGGGAGATAAGCTTGACAGGTGCTAACGAGTGGGCAGATATGTATTTGATTGGGATAATGTTGGCTTTAATGGTGTGGGCTGTGGTGAGTGGAAGGCTACGGTTGCTTTTGCCTTTCTTAGCGCCATTTGTTGGCTTGTTAGTGCTTTGGTTGGGTAAGTTTTATCACCTCTTTTCTTCCAAGGTATGTCCAGATGCTGACATATGGAATAGTCTCTACTGGGTTCATCGCCGTACCCCCGCTCCTGTTGATGCGGGGTATCGTCGCCGTCGTTGGTACCGTTCTCGCTTCTAAATTCAGGTACTCGCCATTGAGTGTCGAATGTCGGAAATTCGCCTACGGACAAGTGACAGATGGCTTGATGACTTGCACAGAGGCGGAATGTCGGCCTTGTTTTCCCCAGCTACTGTAATTTTGGACTGGAGATGTTTTGTTGAAGACTGATGGACGGAAATGATACCCGATACCCCGAAAACGAATGGATCTGGACCGCGCTAATGATGTACTGTTTGGACCCCACTCTTTAATCGCATCTCTCTTTACCTACCCCTGAGCAACAGATGGAATGACGGACGTTTATGGAGACCTTCTGGGATGATAATGACGGAAAACGGGCCGCATATGTTGTGATTGGCCGCCATGTTGCTTGCTTCTTGGCCTCGCGTGGGAGCTGAAACACTTGAGAATCCAGTTTACTATACTCGTTTGCATAAATATCTCGTTGATCGAAATATCTTCCTGGTCTCAATTGTAAATTTGTCTCCAGCGTTGGTTGGAAGGAACCTGGGAAACGTCGCATTGAAGCTGCGTCATTGGTGTAGGGCTGAGGTGGGACATTATGACGTCAGACTAGTGGGGTCATGCGGAGAGACATGTTGACTGTTTGAGACATTGCAACGGCGCGGGGAAATTCAGTTTGAAACTCTAAGCTCCTTGTCAGTACATATGGACATAGCATTTGGCCCCACAGCCGAGCAGCTATCTACAACAACAAACACACAGTCACAATCCTGTCAATAACAACGAACTCGTATTATCCATGGGAGCGGCCTGTGTGGCGGTAGATCGGTCGTACAGACGGCTGCAATCACCTGGATTTTCCCGAATGGCAACATCCAAATTGCCTTGTACAGGTCGGCTTTTCTTTCATCTGCCTTGGTGACTGTGAAGATCTTCACCGTTAGAAGGCTGAACAGAAGGCCAGAAGACACACTTCTTGGCGACGGAACATGGAAAAGTTGGTAGGAGCTGACGAATGGCTCTTGGACTTCGCCCAATGACATGTAAGGAACAGATCGCGGTTAACTTGTTTCAGTGTCTTGGAGCTCCCTTGTCAAGCACCGCCCAGATGATCAGGACCCTGATTGTCACTTCTCACTTCTTCTTCGGGTTTGTCAAGATGTAATTCTGACGGTCCAGATGAGTCTTCCTCTTTGCATGACGTCTTTTCCTCCATTTTTTCTTTCACATCTGACCGGATCTGCTTGTTCCTGCCGGGAAAGCATTGGCTGCGGGTTTGCCCCAGATGGCGTTATACTGGTCCTTGTTCGTCTCGTCTGCACTTCACGCACTGATGACGACACTGGACAAGACGACCATTGAGTACGTACCACTTACACGTCCGGCCAGGTACCTGCCTTGCTGTCTTGCACATGTAGTGTACACTCACAGCCAACAGGCATAGTCAAGCAGGAACGACATGTACCGGGCAGTATCAGATGCCTCGTTCTCTGCCGGCCTCACCTTCCCTGCGGTACCTGGTGGCCTTGGCTGCCGTCCGAACTGGATCGAGATGATGCCATAGCCCCCTTTCCCATACGCCTTCCTCAGTCATGAAGCGAAGTCGAATTTGGTTATAAAGAACACCTCCTTCTTGCGATCTCAGCTCATCTTCCCGATTCATCATCACCATCAACAGCCTAAACTACAACCGACCACAACGAACAACAAACACTCTGATACCCCAACCACCTTTACATTAAACCCCCAACACATACTCAACACACAAGAACATCATCCAATATGTCCAGCATCATCAACAAGATCAAGGAGGCTGTCCACAGCGACAACTCTGCTCACCACGGCGCTCCTGAAGGCACTGCCGGCCCCCACAACTCCCGCGTTGCCAACGCCGCCGACCCCCGTGTCGACTCCGACATGGATGGCTCCCACCGCAAGGTTGCCGGTTACGGCGAGCACGGCAGTGGTCACGCCGCTTACGGCGCTGGCCACCCGGAGGCCCACACTCTTGGCGGTAACCCTACTTATTCTGGCTCCAACACCACCGGTACCCACGTCGGCACTCACACTGGCGCTCACACCGGCACAACACATGGCACTTCCGAGGGTGCCTATGGCCCCCACGGCTCTCGTGCCGCCAACGCCCTAGACCCTCGTGTCGACTCCGACCGTGACGGTTCCCGCACTGCCGGCACTGGCGCCGGTTACAACACACACAGCACTGGCAACACCTTTGGCTCTACCGGCACCCACGGTACCTCCGAGGGCGCCTATGGCCCCCACAGTTCTCGTGCCGCCAACGCTCTCGACCCCCGTGTTGACTCTGACCGTGACGGCTCCAGGACCGCTGGCAACACCACTGGCACTCACAACACCGGGACCTTTGGCACCATCGGCACCCACGATCGCCAGAACCACCCCTTCAGCTCCAACACCCACTCCAACGTTGCTGGTTCCGGCCATACCGGTATGACCGGCACCCACGGTGCTCCTACTGGTACCCACGGCCCTCACGATAGCCGTGCTGCCAACACTCTTGACCCCCGTGTCGACTCCGACCGTGATGGCCGCGCCAACCTCGGTCACCACTCCGGCCCTGGCCCCGCTCCCAACACTGCCGGCCCTCACAAATCCGACATGGTCAACAAGTTGGACCCCCGCGTCGACTCTGACCTCGATGGCAGCAAGACCGTCGGCGGTAACAAGACCTATCAACAGTAAGTAAGTAAATACGAGTTATCTTGCCCGTGGCTGAACATCCTCTTTGAGGTCGGCCTGTGGCGTCCTGGCAACACTTAAGCTAACAGCTTCTTTCAAGACAACCTCACACTTCAAACCTCGCCCACAAGGATCCCACAGACGCTGCTCAGGTCCCTCCTTCTGTTCTCCGCAAGAGCATCGGCGAGCCTGTCATTGAGCACGACGACCACGGGCACCACCGCGAGAGGAGGAACAGCATCAAGACCCACCAGGAGACTTATAGCGGCATCTAATCTGTTGGTGTCTGGCTAGAAAGTCGAACTCCGGTGGCGTTCATGGCTTAATGGCTTTTACGACTTTTATGACTTGTTACTTTCCCTTTTCTTGATCACTCGAGGATACCTCTTTCTCGCTTGTGTACTATCCTAGCATGTACCACCTATACCACATTCCTTTCTTTCACTTCAAACGCACCTTCTCAATCATTGAGTTGGGCGGTAACGATATGATACCCCCATTGTGGTAATGGAGGACGAGGAAAAGTATGTCGACGAACGGCTGCGAGCTTTTTTACAAAGGACAATTACCTCCAAATGAGAACTTGTTACCTTGTATACTCTCTGTATTTGCCTTTCTCCAAAGTGACAGTTCATTAGTAGAACTCTAGTTGACACGAGGGCTCTCCAGCAATGCTTGGGCAGTCAGAATTAGGGCCAGGAAGATTTGGCCTCAGATTCGTGGTCTTGATGACCCTGAATGTCTTGGTGTAAGTGATACGATGTCCACATACTCGGCATAGACACACTAACAGCAAACTTCGAATCGTTCAATAGTAGTGTACGATAGTATTATCCGCGTTCCGTCAGCCGCGCAATTAATGATACCCTTGTAATGTACTAGGGCCGTCTTACACGGTGTTGCTAGTGTGACCTCAAATATCCGACACCACCCCCTCAAGACCAGAAAATCGTGGCATTCTGTCTGATGTATCACGTGGCGCCATCTCAAGCCAAGGTACATACGCCCATGATCACCAGACGCTCTGGCAGATGGAGGCATTGCATCCGTATCATGTGTGCATTCCGCATCTCGCTCCCGGAAGTGTTGCACGATTTTTGCAAATGTTTCCTGTACTTGGGGGGTTCTGGGCGCCAAGGCTTTCTTTCCCCCCTACATGGAATGTAGGGGGAGCCGAAAAGTTGGAACAGTATTTTAAGTTGGGACATCAGGAATCTTAGCGTTTCCTATAGAAAAGTATTAATAAAGACTTTAGTCAGCTATTCTATTACGAAACCTTTTTCTGAAATTCTAGAAAAATTCAAGTATAAAATTCTTACTTAGAAGAACTATTATAGAGACTTAGAAAAAATCAACTTCAAAAGTAAGTACGTAGTAAGGTTTAATTGTATTTTATATACCAAACGTAGTTGCTTTCAATGTATACTAACCGCCGAACGAAGGTAATAATTCTATAGCTAAAGACACTCTCATCGCTTTTATCTCCCTAACTCTTTGACCAAAATTAATGCAACTTTATAGAGGCTCTTTGGAATATTTCTTGTTACTTCTGGATTTTTTTTCGGAATTTTAGAATCAGGTGTCGTAATGGAATGGCTAACTGAAATCTTCGCTAACACTTTTCTATAGGAAACGCTAAGATTCCTGATGTCCCAACTTAAAATACTATCCTAACTTTTCGGCTCCCCCTATATGGAATGTAGGGGGGAAAGAAAGCCTTGGCGTCCAGAACCCCCCAAGTACGTAGGGAAAGGTTTGTTATCCAGACCAACAGACAAGAATGTGGGGACATTCGTGGGGATTTTTGGGTTCTATTCTAGGCGTTCGACAGCCCTATAACAAGCATTAGCTTGATTATTAATACTGAAAGCAGGGATTCACCTGTATGCTACCTATAATCTAGAGTTGCGGGGCACCACTTTGAGGTTCGCAGTCAGAATGAATCATATGGGCCATATATTTATCACGGTAACATCACCTCTTCCTGGACACTTCGTATATTGAACCATCTCTCCTCCTCTACCAAAAAGTTATTCCCACACCCACCTCAATCATGTTAGTCGTACCTGCTCCCCCAGTATCTACTCCTATAGCGACAGAACTAACACCGGATAGCCATCATGTCGACTCTCCTTGTCAACAAGCCACTCCTTGGCCCCCTCGTCGGCCTCAATGTTTGGACTTTTGCTATGGAAGCTCTGCTATACATACGCAGAACTCCAGCGCTGTCCAAGTACGGCGTCACGTTCGATCCAAACACTGTCAAACAGCAGAAAGCAGAGAAATTGCCTCCTTTCGTACAATGGCCGGCGGATAACTTCAACAATTTGCTGGAACAACCTACCCAGTTCTACGCGGTGTTGCTTGCATTAAGCTTGATGGATGTCAAGGACAAGACTACCGTGCGCTTGGCGTGGGGTTACGTGGGTCTGCGAGTCCTTCACAGCCTGATACATGTTACGACCAACAATGTTCTTTTGCGCTTTCCGGTTTTTGCCACGAGTTCGGTTGTGCTTTTGGGGATGACAGCCAAGGCCGCTTGGGAGCTTTTCTTTTAAGCGTGTTGTCTAGCGGGGGCGGGCGGTTGTCACGGACACAGCCGTCTGGTGATTACCTAGTTATGTATGTAGGGTTAAAGTTACGTCCCGCTGCAAAAGCATATCCTTTGCAGCTTCTGTTGCGGGACCTCGCCCAACCACAAACATTATATACCTGTCACAAGGTTGACCGCCCGATCGAGCAGCTGCTTTGCTATATGAGAGATTTTGGTTTTGGTCGGCGCGTATTAATCTGTCCAGGTACCTCCCGCAGCACCCGAGACGAGTCCTTCGAAAGTGGGATGTTGTTAGAGGTCCGAGACCGATTCCTCAGCCAGGGGCTGACAAAGGATCCCTGGAGCCTTCTGGATCTTCAGAGCCCGTCGCCTTCTGTACTACCGGCGTTCCTGGAAGGAGAAAATTGTCAGCTCCTCCTCCCGGTATGTGATGCTGTGCTAATGGGCAGTAGCGTTGAGAGGATAGTAGCGTCCGGGGGAGATTGGAGTATATGATATGGAGGTAACATAGAGGTAGTAGGTACCTGTTTTTTGAGCGTTCCTCCCTCCAAAAATAAGCTTTTAACCGCAAGACTGTAAGTTGGTGAGGAAAGGCAAGTCTACAATTCGATGTCATTTGGTCATCAAGTTTGTGTCTACGAGCTTTACTCAATTTTTCCTTCAAAGGAGCCGTACATTTTACTACGTACTTCTTGAGTCAAACTACAACCCCTCTCTCCTCTCATAGCATACATGAGAACCTTTATCGAAAGAGGGATTTTGTAATGTCATTAGATTTGAGCGTCATTTTGACAGTGGACGCTGGAACAACGATGGGGGGATTCCTCCACCTTGTCCTTTCAACATCACAACTATCCCTCTCACTCTCAAGACCACAACCCATACCAGGTAGTAGATCAATTCGGAATAGACTAATAGTCTGTTCTAGTCTTATTCTAGCCCGCCGTTAACGAGTGTCTGTGTTCAGCAACTCAGCTGCATCCGGAATCTGGGTTCGTAATCTGATCTCGTGTCCGGGGCTTACTATGCTGACGGCATTCGATATCATCTCGGACACGGCCTATTGTGTTGGGAATAAAGTTAACGAGGTGAGAAACCACGAGGCCTTCCGATAGTTGCTTGTCACTGCGCAAGAAAGTGTGACCAGATACCTATCTTAGTCTTAGCCGTCGATAAAGAAGCGTTTACATACTTCGAGACACATTATCATCATTCGCCTACCTTTCGGATACAAATTCCAGGCGTTTGTAAAAGACCGATACGACACGTGGATAAGATAAGCAACCAAAAACACCCAAAAAGAAAAAAATCACAAAAACATACAACACCTGGGATTCGCTGGTCGTCACCGACCCAACTACTAGTCAGGCGATTGGTAGCTTATCTATGGGAGAGCGGACGGGATCCCGAGTTTTCTACCATCTATGGTCGTATGTGATTGAATTGCTTTGCTCATTTAGTTATATTGCTATATGCACAAGAAGATGTATGATTATAATAATGGTGGTGGTTATGCTGATGTTGGTGTTGGTGATGGTGATATTGAGTATTTCGAAGTTTTATACGCGAGAGACAGCGACCAGAGGTGGAATTTGAGTTTCATTTATGGAGTAAAACCGACCTGCTACAGACTGTCGAAGGTTGTGAATATGTGTAACTATGTGAGGTGTGATCCAAAACTTCAGACACTTTGTCTGTTTGCGTCCGTATCTTGAGTCGTGGTGTTTGGGTTTGTTGCTGATGGGATCGTATGCATCTACGATTCTAAAGTCGGCGAAAGATAAATATCACATATAACTAGGTATGTTTGATGAAACCTGACTGTAACATTGCTGCTATTGTTCTTTCTCCTTGTTCCATCTCGCAGTTCTTCATCCCATTTTCTCCCACTGAGCTGCCCAGTCTGAGCCCTTGTCTGCCTCATTCTCGACCTTCTTCAGTTCGTAGCTCACATTGGCATCCCTGTCCAACTTGACTGTCGTGTTGTCCGCCAGGTTGACCCCAACATTTGCTCGATGGGCTTCCTGTAGTCGTCTTGTGTCGATGCAGTGAATCCGTAAATTGGTATAGGTACCTCTAGGTAGTAAGCTTTCCTTCCGAGGCCAAAGTCCTAGTCTGTGGGTATCCCAGATTGTCCGGAAGGCGAATATAGAACTCGCCAAAGATGATGCCGACGAGCAATATCGGAGATGGAGTGCGTAGGTACGTATATGTAAGGTATTGCAAAAATGGCGGTGCCGTTCGCGATCTTAAGTATGCGCCTGACGAATGTTGCAGACTCACACGGATAACCTCGTGGAGATATGTCCGAAGTATCCCGTGTTTCCGTTGTTCGTGTAAGAGGTCCCAGTGTGTCCATTGGTAGGGACGTTCTTTGAAACTTTCGCACTTACGAGCCTCGGGTACGGCATCTTGAACTCTCAAATTCTCTTTGTCAGTATAAATAAGAAACACTGAGAAGTTGAAGAATAGGTAATGATTGAGATCGGTGCATCCAAAAAATGTACCTACTATTTCATTTCGGTCCGCTGTCACTCTTTCACTACCAGCCATATAGCTGGGGTCCTCGATCGTTAGCATTCTTCGGCAGACCCAAGCGTGCCTGATCCAGGTGATCGAGATAACTTCTTGTCAGATATAAGAGGGATTCCATACGAATGTCGTGTCCACGTCCAGACCCCACGTAAAATAATCATCCGGATCCGTATACTGGGAAGAAAGGCTATCGCTCACGGTTCTCAATCCGGACATAGAGGGCGTACGAGCTCTGGCAAGGCTCTGATGTGCTGTAACAAATGTTGCACACGGGGCCAAAGAATTAAATATCGTGGAAGTGCATTTGCTTGAATCACCGTTGTGTAATAAAGTCGGAGTGGATGCGTTTTCATAAATCTGGTGATTCCCCCATACCTTCATGAACTACTCTGCTCAATCTTTCCGGCGGCGCTAAGCTTTGCCAGACGCTGAAATCCAAGTCATCATGCTTGGCAGACCAATTAGCAGGTGTAGGATAACTTGTAGAGGCCCCTCGGAAACCAGCATATAACCCAACCGTAGATCCCGTATTCTTGCACAGAGCAACATCTCGTCTTTGCCTAGGGCATATGGTCGTTCATCGTCTACACTCCCAGCCGAGGCATACCATGTTCGAATAACTAGCCCGCAAAGGCTATGGCTGTGCTTTGACTTGTAATACCCCGGGGAAAATGGAAAACAAGATCTCTGAGTCTTAGAGGTAGTCCATGCTTTTGGGGGCTCCTAGAGGACGCTTTTCAAGAGCTGGTCACTGTTGGCGTCATCCAAGCGACTGCGTTCTAGGCTTCGCCAGCTTTGTGAGTGAGTGTCAACGGATTGATTTTCTCGTTGTCGCCCTGGCGGCTGAAGAATAGAACACAGGAAACGCGGTAGGCTGTATCGCCAATAAAACCACCAAATATATCGACGTCAGTATCAGACTATCTGCTAAATATCCACCATTACGTGAAGCGTGTGGGATGAGGGCTATCTGCAATTATGGTGCATCATGCCTGTCTGACCAACCTTAGCGGTTTGCTTCATCATGGAACTGGCAATAAAGCGTCCTGCGACAAATATGTAGGTAAGTGGTAGGTAGGTTCCTGGTTTTGAAATGCCGACCGCAAACTGACCGAAACCTAGAGGTAGCAACCCGACACCCAGAGTGAACTCCGAAAAAAATAAGAAACTCTTGGGGACGCCGCTCTTGGCTGAGCCCCTGCTATTCATTGTTGACAAAAAGCTGCAGCTGGCTGTCGTGTGTTCATCTAATACCTCACCCCATAAACATCACCCTACAGCCATATGCGATGCAAGCTGGGACAAGACAAGGAAGTGGTTGGCGCAATGAGGCACTTCCAGTTCCTGCAATGAGCTGATATGGTACTTGAAAAATCTTGTCTTACACGGGACCGCTATTGCATGCAAGAGCTCATCGTCTGTAGGATGAGTGGAAATTATGCGAGGGAGCCAATAGGAACACGATGGATAATAGTCCGCCCGTGGAGGGGTCATATATAGAAAAAATACTGAACCTTGTGATTCATGGTTACAGGCTTGCCCAACTTGGCTTGACCTGAAATCATAAACTTGACTTGTTTGGTAACTAAGGCCTTGGAGGGAATGTGTGACGAGATAGGCTGTCATCCTCAGTTCGGTGTGTGTTGAGTTCGCAAGTTCTCCTGTAATGCAATATCGAAAGTGTTAAGGACTTCTGAGCGTTAACGGGGAGCGAGGTAGATAGGCCCTTGTACAGCATATTCGTAGAAGGTACTCTTAACTCCGGAGACATCGCCAATGAATGTTATCCAAGATCTATCTCCATCCCACCATCTCCCCTAGTGGTAACCGGGAGATAGCCGCCATCTAGCGGCCCATCTTCACCCAGTCATGCTCGCTTAATGATAAAGACGTAATGGTAAGAACAACGGACATGACTGTCCAATTTGGAATAAGCAGAGTAAATCAAGAGAAAAAGTGAGGCGCGCGGAATCATTGGCCTACAGGGATCAAGTTTGTAAGATCAGAGGTACGCAAGTCGCTGAGCTGAGAATGTTCCTTGCCCCGTGTTTCGGTCGCTGTACTTACATTGTCCTTATGGGGCTGAAAAAGAAAAGAGAGAAAAAGATCCGGAAGCGAAGATCTTTATCCCGTGAAAGAAAAACGGGGTTGAGAGGGCGGGACCCAACAGGGGCAATCTTGCTGTGCTCTTTCGCCTGAGTTGGCTTCAAAATTGGTGGGAATTTGTCGGTCTTTCGTTCCCTTTCCCCGTGCCCCTGTTCCCGCTCTCTGCCATGGCCACTGGACGAACTCGACGGAGTAGCGTGCTGTCGCTCCCTGGTGAGACGAGACGGTGGCCCGTGGAATCCAGAGTTGAGGCTAGGCGATGTTTACACCGAAGCGTTGCCAGATTCGGCGCTTTTCGCAGATAAATGAACGACGGTGTAAGTACAAAAAGGTAGGGTACGGCTGTGGAGACCAAGTGCTGTTCTTCAACTTCAATGCACGCTCTTCTGCCCCCTTGAACCCGCCAAGCCTTTCCATCTTGCGTCTGACGCGCACCCGGATGACAGGCCTATGCATCCGCGGCTCCTCTGAACCAGACCGTCGGTGCCGGCCCTATTCCCCAGTCTTGCGGCCACTGACCGTATGTATCAGTAAACAAGGGTCGGATCACGGGCTGAAGACTGATTGGGGAACATGTAGCAAGAGGGGTCGAGTGACATCTTGTAAGAGGAAAGAAATGATAGCCAACAGCTAGACTAAGCCATACACTTCAGCGTGGTGCGGTGTGGAGAGCACGCTACGCTAGAAGATTGGATATTTGAAAGTGAGATCTGGCATCTGAGAGAGGAGGAGGGGGGACTGAAGGGGGGATTGCATTCCACGATCCCTGCTTTCGACCGGTTCCTATACGTTTCGTCAATCGAAGAGGGCAAAGAAACATGCGTGGACATTGATTGTATAGAGTCAACCATCAAGGTGCTTTTACTTGAACACCATCTGCCGGGCTTGGCTTCTCGCACCTCACTAAAGGGGGATTAGTGAAAGGCCTAGTCAGGGACAGGCAAAGGACGTAAAAGGAGGATTGTGGATTTCGATGACAAAAAGCTGACAACGAACAGGCAGAATTATTATGCATCCTCATGCGCGCAACAAATCGCAGGAGAGGCAAAAGAAAAAGAAGATCGATCCACCCAGGGGTCGAACCTGGAACCTCCTGATTCGTAGTCAGACGCTCTGCCATTGAGCCAGCGGACCTTGTGTTGTTGGAAAAGAGACTTGTATGAAGTTCTTTTCAGTGTTGTGGGAAACCCATAGTCTCGAAGTGGGGGCACAATATTTTTTTGTGGGCACCGCGGTCCGTCAAAAGCCAAAAACCCCACACTGCAAGACCCTGGATCCGCTCCGCTGCCCGAACCACCGAAGATGCCGGGTCCCCGGGTGTTGGCCAGGTCAGCGAGAGATGCTCGGCATGATCCAGCAACCGATATCGACCCGACATTGCCTTCCTCGTATTCTTGATACCTAGTTCACCGGAATATACGCATGTATGTTCCCAAGCGAGAAGGCGGATGAGGTTCAACATTGACCGGCGCGTTGACGTGCTTCGCATGACCAGCAAGCGTTGTCGCCAATGCATGGAATGGCGACAAAGGAGCCAACAAGACCGAGGAAGTCCGAGACATGTCTTATTTCCCCACGGATGGACGACGGGCTGCTCCACCATGACCGGGGTATGATTGCGTGTTTCCGGTCAATGACCGATCACGGTCAATGGTATATCTCTTATAGGATGGCCGTTCCACTCATACCAGCACTCGCTTCAGGAAGGTGTGTCTGTCAAGAGCAATGCTGTTGGCGAACAAAACCAACAGTGACTTGAAAAGCCATAACGAAAATTTGATCTGCATGATCACGAGTTTCATTGTGTACTTCCCGAGACGAGGAAGTCGGCGACCATAATCGCCTGTCTTCGCCGATTTCAGGTTCGCTAGGTTCATGTTTGTGAAAACAGGAGCGCCGAGTAACTCCATCCCCCATTATAAGGCGCGCGAGGACAAGTGTAGAGAGTTGTGTCCCCGGAGGAGACTAGACAACGCTTCAGGAGAACGAGATCTGCCTACCCATCAAGGTTCGGAAGACATCATCCAGCACTTTGCGCTTCTTCACTCGAGCTCCAGTGGCCTCTTCGATACTGGTGCTTTCATCTTCCTTGTCAAGGCCTCTAGCTGGGGTGTCCAGGCACGGATATGTCCGTCGAGATGTCCACTGTAGATACCATCAGCGACATGGGCTCAGTTCCTCTCCAGACGACTATTACCAACATTAGCATATACCAAGCGATAGGGGCACTGGTTACTTGGTACGTACTGCTGGAGAGAAAGTTTCTGGTCGTTCGTTCTCCCCTCTGTGCACGGATACTCGTCGAGTCACTAGTCAGACTGTCGATTTTGTAGACCTGACGAGTAGCTGCCACAGCAGGACCCATGCCGCGTAGCCTGATAATAAGGGTGCCCTGATGTAAACCCGTAACCAACATCCCATTCTTATTCGGATAGAACAAAAACTCCTTCTTTTGCGGAGTAAGTCGTGAAGGCGAGACAAACATTGTCAAGTGTCCATTGTAATTATTTCGGATGGTTGTGGCCAGAGCTCGCCAAAATGTTCGCCCCTGTAGCGGTATCCCAAACACAAAACTGGCGATTGTGGCCTGCAGACACAATGTACGCACCGTCATCTGTCCAGGTCAAACCGTTTACTGGCCCGTTGTGCACCTTCGCTAAGGCACAGATACCCAAATCTCAAAGAATCCTGAAATAAGGCGCGCTGAACATAGCCTGGATTGTCCATTCTACTAGGGTATATAACTCCTAGGCGGTCCTCTTGGTCCAAAAGGCCATGAGCGTACTGTGCCGCCTGATATTTCAGAGACGCGCGACACCATCGGCTGATCCGCTGGCCACAATATGGTCATGAACAAGTGACCAGGTCACAGCCAGGTTCGCAGCAGCAGAGCCATTTATCTGGCCATGAGAGACAAGAGACTGGACGGCAGCCGAAGAACGCAGGTCGACGAGCCGGGCGCCCAAACGCTGTGTTCCGCAAGCAACAAGCAGATGAAAGGCGATGGGTGAGGTGGCGTGTGAAGAAACCTTTGCACCCAGCCCAAACGTGCTGTATTTGTAGACCAGTCTGCTCAGGGGTGATTAGCCAGCAGCCAGGAGTAGACGAATAAATGCCCAAGCGGTACCTCCATTCTTCCTTCAAGCCATTTGAGAACCAAAGCACTTACGTAGACCGGCCTGATGAGCCCAGAAGGACGCCGGTTGGTGAGTGGATTTCGGGTTGTGACCCGCCCGAGCCCGCCGACCCGTACCCCAGCCAGCAAGCGAGGTTGCCGTCCGCTCTCCGCCATCAAAGCGGAACCGTGGAGCAGAGCGAAAGGAATGTGGTAAGTTGATGATCGGCCTTCATGTTGATGGTAACAGCCAAGACGCGGTGTCAGGACGGATCGGGTTTAAATCGCGTGGACCGTGACGTGCAAGGGCAGTCTATGCAGGATAGAGGTCTCATGGCGGGCTTGGGCTGATGAACTAGAGGCCGGATGGAGGGCCGTACCCAGACTGTCGGATGCCTTGGCTTTCGTCGGATTGCAACCCATTTTGCTACATTACAGACGGGGAAGCATCATCACCTCGAGTGGCAGAGGGAGGGTGAAAACAGCTATTCCATTAGGCGGGCCGAACATATCGATGATATCTTTGGTGCTGCTTGGATGGACGCTGCATTGAGTGAGGATGAATGAGGAAAGATTGAGTGAACCACCAAGCCAACGTTGTTGCTTTTCCGTGATGCGACGTTGTTTCCAGTCCCTTGAGGTTCATCTCACCGCTGGAATGCCGCTGCACAGAACAGGAAGCTTGCACCTGCAGTGACGGGAGTGAGCGGGGCCACTGCGGTTGAACGCGGGGTGCTTTGGCGTGTTGGATGCAAAAACACGGGCCACCCAGGGGCAGGGGCAGTACGTAGGGACAATTCCAACCGAATTCCCCGCCCATTGCCTGCCGGGCAGTCCCGTCTCGAACCTTTTTTGTCGTCGGTAGAGGTAGGACCACCGTCTTTCTCTAGCCACCAAGGAGGAAACAGACTGGATTTTTTTGAGGCTTCAATATTTCCTTTATCAACTAAAGTCAAAAATTCACCTATATTCTCACTTTCTCAGAGCGGGCCCGACAGAGAAATCCATGTAGCTCCTTCTTCTGGTTGAAATGGGGAGCAGTGTTTCGGGCAGAACACAAAACTTTCCTGTTACGCGCCGTCGTCCCGCTGGCTGAAGGGAACGAAAGTTTCGAAATACTCTCCCACTTTCCTCAGTTGCCAATCTCACAGCGGAAAATCACATCAATATCACCCCATATCTATCATTCCTTTCCAACATGACCTCGTCACCAGCCCCCAGTGACTATTCCGACGAGGAACTACGCCCATCGAGAAAAGAGAGTCGAGGACGTGAACTGAACGTCTACGATGCCGTTGCCGGTACGTTCGTCGCCTCGTCTTTTTCATGTCCCCTTTGGCCGGAATCTGTGTGAACTTTGTCATCTAACTCCCTTCCAGGTAATGTGACCTTGAACGACCGATCTCAATCAGGTGCTTTACGCCGAAACGACTCCTCAAGTAAACGACCAAATCGGTCCTCCGGGCTGCATTCTTCCCGCGACCCCAGGTACGCGCCTGAGGAAGTCCTCTTCCGCCGCAAGGGCGCACCTGTTCGCTATGAAGAGAATGACATCTACTGGGCCAGCGAGCATCTGCCCGACGGCGGACGTCATCTTCTCCCTGACAGCGACCTCTTAAAGTCCATCCATGGGTACACCAGCAACTTCTACGACGCAATGGCCCTTCGCCTCGGTCCGCGTTGTGTCATTGGCTCCCGAACCATTGATGAGAGGAGCATGGATGAAACCGCTCTACTTGCCTTTGGCATCCTACTTGAAGAAGCAAGTCGCGAGGCTATGGGGAAGAGAGGGGACCTCGTTCTGACTGAGCCATTCACGGATTCCAAGTTGCCACTTGCTGATGAACGGGCTCTCGACACCCCTGCTGTTGTCGATCAACAACCAGTTGCGGATGCTGACCAAGGAGCGACTCCGGAAAAAAAGCGGCGAAAGAAGAAAAGGAAGATCCGACGTGACGACGATGTTACAGCAGCCGAAATATGACCCGGCTATCCCTCGCACCCGAGACAAACTGTTCCTCGGTGTACGCATCCCACGAGCCTCAGCGCCAGCTTGGCAACAATGGGGTGCCAGTCCCCGACTTCGGGCTTTATCACACACAACGTTGCTGCCTTCATCACATCTGGGCAATCGTTAGTTGACGAGTAAGGTTGCCTCAACGTGTGCGATTGTCAATAGCCGGCCCCTATCTACAAGCTTGAGGCCTTGCTATAACGTGGTTGCTTACCATGTGGTCGTGATTCTCGCTTCTGTCCCCGAATCAACTCGAGGACACGTTTCAAGACCCTGCCATCTCCAGACAAGGGCCCCGCAAAATACTATGCATCGGAATAAAGGTCTTTGGCGATCTTGGTTACGATGTGTGTTCGAGCGCAACCACCACGCTTCTGCTATGATTCGAAAAGGGCGAAGGCTTTGGAACAACTGTGATGCAGAGCTGGCTGAATAAAATTACCCCCCAAAAGAAAAGAGAATTCTCTAGGATCATGGGGCCGCCCTCGCTCAACAAGCACAGTATAAACTGACATGCATAACCCCGATATAAATAATCCCGCCTTTCCAGTGATTATGACCTCTCCATGGATAAAATACGTACCTGGCGCACTATACGTTACACAGCCTAGTACTATAAATCGACTGTGTTCCGTGCGTATCAAGCAGCGTCGCGCGCCGACCGACTTTCCTGCTGGTTTGAGGAGCAGGTCTTCTCCAGTTCTGCGAGATGATTGGTTCATGGTCACAGAAAGAAGTTCACCAGAAGCAACGTCTGGACAAAAATGGTAACAGAACGACAAATATTATAGTTGCAACATAAGAAGTTACTCGTTTTCAACTCTTATGTCATCCACAATCCCGTTACGAACAATCCAATAAGGAATCAAGTGTTATGCTGTGTGTGACCCAGGTTATCTCTCACTCACAGAAGGAACAGACGTCAGCGCTCGTTGAATATCACGGGAGATCGCAACATACCCGCTAGGCTAGTAAGTGCCGAATGAAACACAAATTGCAGTGGATTTATGACATGCAACGCAAGCTCACGTATTTTTCTGATAGTCACACTGTCATCCTTTTGGCGATCATGTGTTTCTCAGGGATTCCTCGAGGATGTACACTATGTCAATTCTCGTTGCTTGACTTCAAATCTTCCGCTGCTAGGGCCGACAGACGCCCGACTCTGTAGTGCCAGTGGAGTTCACCACCTGTCTAACAATGGAACTTTACGTTACGCTTACCGTCTCTAAACTCACCTATACTTAGTTACATACCTGAGGGGGGCATCCATTTCTTTCATCCAACAACCGAGATGGTTGAGACATTTCCCCATCATAGGCCAGCGGTAGGCGTTCTTGGAGCTGAACTGAGATCCCCGTGTTCCGGGTCGTTTACAAGGAAGCCACGAGAGCCACGAAAGTTGACAAGGGGAATTATTATAGTTTGGGATGTCGATCACGATCCGGACTCCCCTCCATTGGTTCTACACGTAACGTAAGTGGTCAGCAACACTGGCACGCTGGGCTTACAAGGCTCATCTGGGAAAAATGATAGGTTCAAACTAGTGTACCAAACTAAGTCTCCTTCTTTCTCCTTCCTTCTCCTTCCTGCCCACCAAGACACTGATATAGCGCATATAGCGCATTAATAGGTGGGGAAAGGGAAGAGAGGGGAGGAAGCTGTGAGGAAACAACTCTGCTCCACACCTCTGCATGGATTTAAACGGGTAGCGCGCAGGCGCGGTATGACTTGACTACAGGACACAGGGAGCAGTCACACGGCAAACCAGTTATTTCTTGTGACAGAATAAAGGTTCTTTGCGACTCGTGAAGACCGCGCTACGCGTTTATATCCATCTACAGGTAAACACAGCTCTGCACTACTTTACTCGGGCCGGATAAATCGACTGTAAAAGTTCATACTAGCTTCCAAGCTCAAGCCAAAACCCTAGGCTTGGCATCAACTTAGCGCGCCAGCAACCAAATTCTTACTAAAATGTCATTGTTTCACATCATCATCACGTCTAAAGTTCAGAACAACCTGTTTTCAATACGTTCAACTGCATAACTTTCACACGCTTTAGCATGAATTAGGGTATTTCTATCATTGCATTACCTTGGCGGCTTACTGCAATTAGAGCGCCTAGCGCAAAGTACAGCCAACTACTTCCTACCTCGCACACTGGGCTTACTATTTCGCCTCTCATTCCCTCTAACATCTTTATATCGCTACTACGGTTATCCTCTTTCTTAGATGCATCATAAGCAGAATCACAACGAACGTTTGGTAGTTGCGCAGTCAGGGTATCTCTAAGTGGTCATGGCACTCTCATTGGTCAGACGGGCCCCACACCGCCGGTTCATCATGACACTGGACACAGTTCGATGTTGCTGGCTCGATTCTCCATATGTACTACCTGAATGGCGTCAACGACATGGAGGTACCGAATACTGCAAATCTCACTCAAGTCGAATTTATCCCCACGCTTCTTCATGGTCAATCAGAGTCCAGGAATGACCTACAGGCCGGCACTCAACGTACCTCTACACTAGCATGTAGATGGGCAGCAAACGATGTGATTGGCTCGTAAATCGCGGGGATGAGCCCGACATGAGGGTGAGATTTAGCGGTACACTATAGCAAGAAAAAACGAAAGAGGCCACGGCAGTTGTTATAGTCCGTCCCCAACTCCTTGGATAGACTTGGCTCGAGCCTAGAGGTAGCTGGGGGGGCAGAGAAGTCTTACTTTGGTTTATAAGCACGGCAATAGACGATCTGATCGAGATTGATGGATGCGGTTTAGCTTCCTACATGGTGTGTATCTATTATGTATGTAGGTAGTGTATACTAGTCATTGAGACTGGCAAGAAAGCAACGAAATCTCTAAAGGTAAGCAAAATTGAGTCGACTAGTAATCCAGACGGACGAACATATCAAAATGCGACAGGCGAAACAAAACGAAGCTGACATGAAACCATCTGTGACTATAACTAAAATAATTCTTAGACACCGGTGCGAAGTTGGATCCCGAGTTCAAGTAACGCCCGCTATATATTAAAGCGTGCTTTGGATCCACATTACGTAAGCCAATAGAAATCTATTTACTAAGAAATACTAAAACAGGAAGTATAGGAAGGCTCTTAGCAACTCGAATTCGTACTTAAGGGTATAACACTAGCTAAAATATTACCAAATCTAACCCCTTCCGCGAATTTTTCTATTATTTTACCTATAAACCTAGTTAGACTTAGCAAATACGTTCAAAATGCTCTAATTAAGTAATATAGTCTATTTCCAACTACTTTACTATTACTAGCCCTACCGGGGGTGCTATAGGGACGCTTGTAGTATAACGGTTAAGGGGACGCCCGCAATTATTATTAGTATAAATCTAGAGAGTTTGCGCGTTTAATTCCCTATTTATACTTTATTTCTTCTTTAAATGCTTAATTATTATACTATTAACCTCTTTTAAATCCTCCTCATCTTCCAATTTTGTCCGTTGTGGGTTTTTAGTGTTGATTGTGTGTGTGGCCGATTTGGGGAATAGGAGATGTAAGACCGTTGTAAGACGTACTATTTTTTGGTACTATTAATGGTTGTTTTGAAAAAGAGTATATTATAAGGTATTCGATTAGGGTGTGTGGAATAAATTGAATTGAATTCCTTTCCTTTTTTTTATTTTTTATCTTTTTTTATTATTATTAAATAAGGTTCTAAATTAATAGTAAGATTTAATTACCTAAAACCCAAATTAGAATAATTTGAATTATATTTAATAATAAGGGTAATATATTATTTTAAATGGATAGGAAAATTAAAGTTAGGGATAATTATAGTTTTATTTTTATATAGAAGGTTATTTTTAGTTAGTAATATTATTTTAGTGCTAACCTAGTTTTTAGTAGTAGTATATTAGTGTTTAAGAGTAAGTAAGTTATAGTATTCTTCTTTTTCTTTTAATATATTGTTGAGGCGCTGTTTAAATTTAAGATTATCGTCTTCGAAAATGATAGATATAGTGGCGTTAGGGGATGATAGAGGTTGTTAATAAAAGTAATGAAGAGTTGAATATAAGAGAAAGAGGTAGAAGGAGAGAGAGAAATTAATAGTAATAAAAATATTAAATATAAAATAAGATAGAAGGAGCAATTGTAAATATTATTAACGGAAGGTACGTTTAAAATTATTATTTATATTATATTTATTTAAGGTTGGAATTGAACCGGAAGTAGTAATATTGGGTGCCCGGAATCTTAGTATTTATATCCGATCTAAATATTTGGGATTAAAAATTTCTCTAGTAATCTCCTTGCTTTATTAGTAACCCGTATTATAAAGGTATAATTTAAAGTTATATGTAGAGTGTTTAAGTTAAAAGGCTTGTTAAATATAAGGTTTTATAAGGTTTTGACTCGAGAGTAAATTATATATATAAATTTAATTTGAAAGTCCTTCTTAGAAATATTTAGTACGGCTATATTGAGTGTAGAACTTTGTAATTTGTATATTATAATAGTATATATAATAATTAATAGGAATTGTGTTTTCTTATACTGAATATTCTAATATAATAGGAAGTCCTTTATAATTTTAAAGATTGGGACTATATTTTAAAATCTTTTTTAATTTTCTTAATTAGGAAAATAGTAAAGACCAATATACCAATCAAATTTAACTAATATTACGAAGGGAGTTCTATAAGGACGTTCTTTATTATACATATCTTTATTAGGGAAATTGGCATTCTAAGTAATATTAAAGATAGTACTTAAAGTACTATTAATTAAGTTAACCTTAGTCTAAAGATTCTTAATGAGTATAACCCGGCTATTAAGTATTAATAGTAGCTCAATTTGTAGATTATTAACTTTAGCAGGGTTAATATCTTTAGCGCCAGCTCCTTCGTATTGTACCTTTATTATAAGATATAGTTAATGCAATGCTTCTATATATTAGATATTATATGTAGCTACGTTTTTGCATTTAGGATAAATACGAAGAGTATTGGCAAACCTATTTTACTCTTCTTATAGTAATAATATTTGAATTCGTATCTTTAATAAATCCTAATGTTAGTAAATTAGAAGATTATTTCGTAAACCTTTAAATATATCCCTAAATAGCGCTTAATTATTACCCTATTACCGTATAATCTATTGTAATTTAATAGTTTTATTGAATATATAGTAGTAGGTACGATTAATAGTTTTAATAATTAATAACTCCTATTAATTATAGAATAGGGGTTTTTATTTAATTAGTAGCAATTAATAGAAATTATTAAGTAGAAGAATACTCCTTCTATTAAATATTTGACTTTGGCTTTTAAGGAAGGCTTATTGTAATTTTTAGTTAATAAAATTGAATGTTCGAAAGCCTAGTATTAACTTCTTATTAATAATAAAATATTAAAATAATTAAAGTTTTTATTATAAATTAGTAAGATTAATACTTTCTAAGGCGGTAATAACTACTTCTAGATTATTATAATTAATATTCTTAAGTACGATAGGGAGTTTGAATAGCGAATATAAAATTTGGCTATCGATATTATTAGCTGCTACCCTAATTGGAATACTATAAATAATAGGACTTCCTTTACCTTTTATTATAATTATTTATTTTAATTTGAAGGATAAAAGACGAATAAAATGCGATTTTCCAATACCTCTACGGCTATTAACCTATAGAAATAGAGGTAGGATGCGTAAAAGCTATTAAATATTATTATTGCAATTGAAAATAGATTAGTAATAAGTAATAAATTAATTAAAAATAACTTTTTAGGTTGGATTAAAATTATTAATAGTTGAAGTAGTAATAGTAAAGGCGTTTTCTATAATTAAATAACGGTTATCAACCTTTATATTAGCCTAATAGTTGTATTGTAATTCGAATAAAGTTTAATACTCTAAATAGTTATACTAATTGTATAAAACATTTTAATCCCGGAACCTAAATATTCCGAAATCCCTATTATCTTCAATTCGTTAATAATAAGGGAGTTCTCTAGCTAGAATTTACTATAGTTCTTATTATTTTTCTTCCTTAGTAGGGGGTTCGAATTCATTATTAAATTCGCTATTAAGCATATTGCTATAATAATTATAAGGGTGGTTATAATTACCAGTATAAACTTCCGTGTAGATTAAATATGTATTAAAATAAGTTTCTAATTCTTAATAAATCCTATTAGGGTTTTAAATACTAAATAAATCCAATTAATTATAATAGGGATAATATAATATAAGTTTAATTCTATACCAATTTTTATACTAGGTATTATTATCGGATTTATAAATCGAATAATAGTTAAGTACCCTCTTTTTAACCCGAACCCCGAAACGACAATTATTATCGAATCGAGTAAACTATTTAAAGTAGCTAATATTTTCTAAATTATTAGGGCGAATAAAGTATTTAGTATATAAACTATAGGTTTAGACTTATTGACCACCCGGTCTAATGACTATACTAGCGCTTTATCCGGATATTCTATTAGGATAACGATAATCTATATTAATAATAATACGAATACTCTAATTTAGCGGTAGGCTAAGAAGAAAATAACTAATCTCTTAAACGGACTAATTTCGTTTAATAACTAATTAATTTATTATTTTTACAATGAAGGAGATAATATAGTTATTAGTAGTAATTTAGAGTATAATTTATTAAGCAATCTCTTTGAAAGGCCTTAATTACTTCTCTACCTTTGAATAGTATTTAGTAATATAATTAATAATGGTATTATAATTAGTATATAGCTAGATATCTATATTAGTATGCTATACTAAGGTAATAGTCCGGTTGTAGTTATTTATACGGTTATTATTTTTTGCCCTATTATATAGTTAATACTTTGGGTTGAAATTGCGTATAAGGTAGGCTTCTGGGTAATAATTCTTAGGAAAATAAAACCGGTACACTTTAAGTATTAAATCCTTAGGACGGAGAATACCTTAATTAAACTACTTAATACGAAGGTAATAATTGTTGGTATATCGGCTATAGTATTATATCCGATTAACTATTCGGAAAAGGAGGTTAAAGGTAGGCGGGTATACGCCTTCTTCTTAATTATTACTATTACTAATAATAACGGATAGAGGATCTCCTTTATTTTATTAAATAATTCTTTTTAATTCTAAATTTTAAGTAGTTATATAATAGCCCTATAGTTTTAAAAATTCTCGTTAGGTATTTTCATTAATTAATTTAGGTGCTTCGATATATAGTACTTAATATATATTATATGTTACAGGCATTGCTGCTATGTTCCTATATATAGAGGGTACTGTACTACATTAGTGCAGTCAGCTGTGCAGCTGCCTGAGTGCAGTACAACAGTCACATACACACGTGCTGCGGACCGGATCTATAGTATGCCCTACATAGTTCTCGTACACGCACAGGATTCTCTTCCTATTCCTCGTATAATAATCAAAGTCTTACTTTAGTATTTACTTACGCCCTGTAATACTTTATTATATTTAACCTTCGTATTAAAACGTAATAAATAATTTCGGTCGAACTAAATTTAATAGAGGCTAATGTAATAAAGAAACTCTCGCGAAATTTACTCTTTAACGAATTGTATAATTGTTAATAATAAGCCAGAGATTCTAGCGATATTAAAATCGATTTTAAAAAAATAAACAAGTATTTAAGAACAACAAGGGTACAATTTTCATATTATGCAATATAATAAAAGAATATTTTCTTCTTTCTTTAATTATTAATAAACTATTAATCTAATCGTTACTTAAATAAAATATTTAACAATTAAGATTAAAATAATTAAATCGACTTTACTACAATATTCCTTTTATTATTTAAAAGTTTTAATATATTATTCGCAATATATAATAATAATTCTAATATTAACCTTCGGGTCTCACCTAATTTTACAAAGCAGGTTAAAGAATATAAGGAAATTATAAAACTCTTATACTACTTTAATAAAAAGATTAAACTATTTAATGAAAATATTACTACCGAATAAGAGAAATTTAAAGACTATAAATGTAACGCCGAAACTTATATTAAAAAGACCGGCTAGAAAATAAAAATAATTAATAATCGTATTAATAAGTTTAAAAATACTAAAAAACAATTCGTAAACTAACTAAAGGTCCTATAAAACTAATATAATTAAATCCTTAAGAATAATACCTCTTTAAAATATAAACTAATTACTACTGAAAAGGAGAAAGCGGCCTATAAAAATACTATAATTAAAATTATTAAAAGTAAAAAAACCAATTACTAAGCCATCCTTAACCTACTAAATATAATTAATACAACGTCCAATGAAATTAAAAAGGAGTATAATATTATTCGTATTATAATTAAAATCGTATAAAAAGAATTAATTAAAACGTAAAAGGAAAATAATACCCTTTACAAAGACCTTTATCTTACGGAGGATATTATATTCATTATTAAAAGTAACTTAAAGGAAGCCGAAGTAAAAAATACGGCCAAATTCCAGGCTACGGTCGATAATAAAGTAGAGAAGGTCCCTCGTAATATAGGAAATATTTTGGGTAGCTTTAAAGGATCGGGTATAGGAATTAGCGTCGGCCTTAGTAGTATAAATAATAATCTTAATAATAGCAGCCCTAGAAGATTGGGTATAGGAACTAACGTCGGCCCTAGTAGTATAGGCGGTAGTTTTAGTGATAGCGGCCCTAAAGGATTGGATATAAATTTTCCTAATATAGGCGGTAATCCTAAAAATAAAAGATTCCTTAATAATAATAGTCCTAATAAATTTAAAGCCCCCTTTTAATCTATCCCTTCAAATAATTACTACCGTAAAGCACTTTACAAAAACTCCGAATATTTTAATAATAAAAAAATAAATATAATTAAACGCTATAATACTTATAGTACTTAAAATTCGGCTATCTGTAATCATTGATTAATAAATAGATATAAATTCCCCGATAAACTATTTAAACTTCTTTATACTATAATTTACCTTAGTGGCGAAGTTAAAATTAATATTAATAAATATTATTAATTCATTCTTAATAATCTATACTATTAAATCTATTAGGAATAGAAGACGGGCGAAGAATTTTTAACGTACTTAAACGAACGATACAAACAGGAAAATTTAATAGCCGTCGTTAAAAAGGAATTATTAAACTTTAAACAAATTAAAAAATATTTAAACTATAAAGACTTCGAAACTAGGTTCGTCTCCTTAACTAACTAATACAATTATAATACAATTACTAAAATTTACTTACTTTACTAAAAAATATTTAAATCTTTAACCAATTCAATCTTATACTACTCTATCCAACTAAAGTATAACGATTAAAAAGGATAGTCAACCCTTTTCCGTAGCATCGCCAAAGTATATACTAAAGCCTTACTCCGTAATAATACCATCCAAACTACTATAGAAAGCGGCGGCCACAATAATAATAGCAACGGTAATAGAAATAATAGCGGCTATAGTAATAATAATAAATAAAAGGACTCTAATGCTATAAATATTAATTGTATAAAATTTATAAAAATCTATAAGAAC